GCACATTTCCCACATATGTTTTTATAATCCTGCAAAACAGAAAATTACTTTGTTGTCTCTGTGTTAAATGAATTCTTAAAAGGAGATAAATATAAAGTAGATGGGTTCTGTCTTCTGTAACAAGGATGAAAATCTGGAGAAAGTTCCACTGAAGCCAGCGATTAAACTGTTGAGCAGTATTTGGCCCTCAGTATCCTGTTTCTTTCCAAGTTCACCAGATCCTTGGGAATAAAGGAATTAGTTATGAAAGGTGGTGGGAGGACAAGGCAATAGGTTAACTGATTGTTGACCACTGCTGACTAATGGTTGTCTCTGGAGGAACTCTGACTTGCATTTTCACCTGATGTTATCTAGTGCTAAATGTGTATATCAATTTTTATAAGGGAGAAAACTGCTAAACAACATGTTTCTGTCTTTGCTTTTCGATATTATTATCCAGTATCCTCAGTTCTCTGGCTACTCATACATCACCTTTGAACCACTGAAAAACTCCTATCAGACATTTCAAATTACCCTTGAATTCAGGGTAAGTTTAAGCAATTCCAAACTCACATAGGAGCTTTAAATTTTATTCACTTATTCTGATGCTGTGGACAATGGAACAGTAACTTAGCTTCAGTATAGCTTATAATGTAATTGTGGTGAGCCTATACATAATCTTCATCTCTAAAGATCTGTCTTCACATTCAATGAATGCAAATGAAGTTGGTAAACTGAGCTAAAATATTTGTATCCATTACTGGTAGGCAGTGCATGAGAGAATCCCTGGGACTAGTAATACTGGCATTGCAGACTAACAGCAATGTACATTGGCAGGGTTATAGCCATGTGAATGAGCTACAGGCTGAAGTACACCTGGACTTTTTGTGAATTACAGTTTGGAAGTGGCATGCAGTATCTTTACATATAAGAAACTGTGATCATCTTGTTGTACTGAGCAAAATACTGCCCTATATCCAGAGTTCTTTTTCCAACCCTGCAGGATTTAAGTAGGCATTATTTTCCACCTCTGAAGTTTGGGTCACTGGCTACTAATACATGCAAGATACTGGACTACTTAAACTACAGGTCTGAAGTGGTGGGGTACATCCCACACTGGCTTGTGTTAATGCTGTCTGTGTATTACAGACGGAGCTGGTAGGGCTGCCTGTAGGGAGGGTGGCTGAGCAGGTGTCATAGGTGAGCTCTCAGATGCACCCTTGCTCCCACGTAAGGCAGAGTCGCCAGCCTCATAGCCTAGGTATGACACTGTCACTAGAGCAGCAGCAATCTTTTGCCTCATGTGGTGATCTAACACTCTTCTGGCAATTTGTCAGCTTAACTTGCAGGATGGCTGCAAAAAGAAATCTTGCCTGCACAGATTGTTCAGCTTGAAAAGTGTCAGGATCACTGAACATGTGAAGCAGAGTGTGCGTATTCATGTGCAGTAAGTCTGATGTGTCTACACTTAACAGGCTTGCTAGGATATCCTTGCTAGACTTTGTGCTCAGAGGTGTCATATGGGACGTCTGACAGTTTTTAATGCTTTCAAGCTTGTTTGTAGGTCTGATAGTATCACGCTGTAAATAGAAGAGATGTTCTTAAACCGTTTAAGCATTAAGGCAATGGTTTTTTTAGGTTCTTCAAATGCAGAATTCAAAATTGATCAACCAGTTGCTGATTTTGCAAGTTAAAAACTCCATCTGAAAACTGTTGTCCCTTTTCTGGAGAAAAGTGTCCCAGTGCTGCTTGCATTTATCTGTCACTGTGAGGCTTAGACTTTGATTTTTCATGTTGATGCTGTGATTGCAGGCTGAATCAGAAGATGGTTTGCTGCTATACTGTGGAGAAAATGAACACGGTCATGGTGATTTTATGTCACTAGCAATCATCCAACATAGCATCCAGTTCAGGTAAAGCATGGATTTCTACTAGGCTCACCACCACCCTAAATCTGATGTAAAGAGAAGGGGCCATTGCTGCCTTCTGAGACTGCTTTATGTGATGAATATCTGTCGTGTCTGACTTCTGCCCCATGCAGTGCACAAAATGGATAGTATTACTTAATTTAACAGTTCTTCAATATTTTGTTCTCTCATCCTTGTTTAGTGTGTGGACATGTGTCCTGTTGAACTCTTTTTACTCAGACCTTGGTGTAAAGGCAAAATGATCAGTTTTCTTCGAGGCATTAGTCCGGGGCTTATTGCTATGTTATCAGAAATGCCAGTAAGCCACTGCACTTGCTAAGCTTATGCTATATCAAGCTGTGCATAGTCAATGTTTTGGCTTCACAGCAAAAGGACCTGCAGATAACATAGCAAAATAAAGGATTTAAAGCCAGCAAAGGGTCTAGTACTTCATTCATATCCCTTGTTTAGATGGGAGTTGCAGGTTTTTTAAATGAAGGTGGAGGGGGTTTCTTGCAGTCCCATAGATATGAAGCATGTGAAAGAGTATCTCCAGGATCTCCATATTTGTGATGGTGAGTCCTTTGAAAGTGGGGAAAAATAAAGTGGGTGATGTGGCTTAGTTCTGTTTCTGTTCACCTCCTGCACTGAACGGCAGTCAAAGAAAATGGCATGTTTTGTGCACATTCAGCTCCACAGAGACTCTCCTGAAGGTCTCCTTGTCACTCAGTACTGAGTTTCATATAGAATCACGGAGTTATTAATATAACTGCCTTTCACCAGGGAGCTAGAAAAATACCCAAGAGAAATTACTGTGATAGCAGGAACTCAGATTGTAATACCCTGCATCTTGAAACAGTTTCAGCTGTTGGCAAGCTTTGCGATGCACTTGGTATGGCCAGAGGATGCAAAATCTTCTCCATGGGAGAAAGACAGATAATGAAGTTTGAAACTTAGAACAGATCATACGTAGACCTGCTGTCTAATTTTCCTGTGGCCTGTTAATATGCAGTGTGAAACAGAGAGCTTCCCAGGAGCGAAAGGAATATTCAAAGTCTAAAAGTGACTTTTTGTTATTTGGTTAATGTAAGATTGTCACCCTACCCTCTCTGTCTTATGCTCCCAGGTTCAGCTGTGGCACTGGAGTTGCAGTCATAATGAATGAAAACAAAATCAAGCTGGGGAACTGGCACAGCGTCACGTTTTTCAAAGATGGGATGAACAGCTGGCTCAGGATGGACAATGACACTCCAGTCACAGGAAAATCTCGGGTAGGTAATCCGGCACCTGCAGCTTGATCTTGGGCTCTCTCAAAATTATGGTGACATTTTTTTCTTGTCAGCAGAAATCTGATCAGATTTTAAAGGTATATTTTTATTCATCAGTGTTGGGGCATTTAGTGAACCAGGATCAGTGTACAGATTACTCTTCCACATTTTACATTTTAAAATATAAGTAGCCTGAAAATACAAAACATTATTTCACCCAAAAGAATTTTGTATTTTTTCATTGAAAGCTAGAAAGTTTTCAGGTGTCCCAAATAGCATGGTTTCTGATTTTTCCAGCTTGACCAGAGAATCAAATACAAGTTTTCATTGCTCCTGGAGGAAAGGCTGTAAGAAATCATTTAGACATAAAATGTTTTAACCAGTGTAGTAAAATGACATTTGAAAATAAGATACAAAGTTCTGCAGAACTTGTAAAGGGGAATGTGGTTTTGCCCTTTATACAGACTGCTATTCATATTAGTGTTGAACTAATAAAGATTGTAAGAACAGTTTTTAAATGCTTCCTTTGAGACTGGTGAATGCTTTGCACAACGGGTTTATTGTTCCTAGCCAGGATCTCATCGCATCATTAAGATCATATTTTAGTTACCTCCCCTTAATGTACAGCAGTCGGGCTGTGCGCATGCGTGTGTGTGTGTGCGCGCGCAGATGTCACTGTAACAGGCTGCATAAATAGAGCTGATAAGCCAACACAAAGTAGTTCTGTTTTAAAAGAGGATGAAGAATGTGGGACTAGATGGACCATTAGGTGGGAAGCTTTATCTCCAGGCTTATGTCATTGTGAAATGAGGATGTATAGCTGAGACAAAAAATTGTCTTTATGCATATAAATGATTGAGCAGAAAAATTAGTTCAGTGGTAGATGAAACGCATGCTGATTACAGAAATGTTTCATTTATAAATAAAAGTAGAATGCTTGTTATTTGCTATAAGAACATGGTCTTACTTTCCTTTGCTGATAGGGCTCAGAAATTATGTTACTTCTTTATAAGGAAAGAAACACAGTGATTTATTTTTATTTTTATTTTTATAATACTTAAAAGTTTTCTTCCCCTTAAAACAGGAGTGAAGAACCTGTCAGTCTGAGTCAATGGCATGAGTTGTGAGTGTCTCGCACAGCAAAGAATGGTATCCTACAAGTGGACAAACAAAAACCAGTGGAAGGGATGGCAGAGGTGAGCATATGGCATGAGTTGTCATGAATACGGCTGTTAGATTATAAAATGATTGCATGGTAAACTACACGGGTTCTTAAGAGCTAAAAAAAGTATACACATTAGAGCAACATTTTCTTAAGCCCAAAACTGGAAATTTGCACATGAAGTCTTCCCTCTGAGGACAGGGATCCTGTAAAGGCAGCTGAAATACAACCTTACCTGCTCTTGCTGTGCAACTGGACTCACATTTTTGTGTTCAGTTCATACATGTTCTTGAGGTTCTTTTCTTGGTACTTCGTGGTTGTGGCCAAGTCCACTGAACAACATATGCACTATGAAATGCGTCATCTGGAGAAGGATGAAATTGAAAAATATGTGCACAAAGTCCTGCTTTTACACCTCTCTGAATATTGCGCTGGAAAGATAGGCCAAAAGAGAATTGTTTCTTTGTCTTCTCCTTGCAAAAGTAATTTTCAGGACAGAGTAAGGGCTGGAATACTCAGAGAGTTGATGACTTGCATTTTATTCTTCCCTAAGAGGTCATAGTGAGTCAAGTTTTTAATAAGGTGAAATTTTGCTTGCAAGGATCCGAGCAGGATATTCACTCTAAGCACTCAAATGCTTACACAGAGGTACTTTTTTATCCCAAGAACCTGAGGCTAGAACTGCTTAGAAAATGTCTTTTATTCTTTCCTAATGGAAAGTCTGGCCAGAAAACCATTTTTTCCTGCAAATTGGGAAACTATTTAAAGCTTAGACTTGTAAATCAATTGAAATTCCAGTTGTCTGTCAAGAAACAGATTCAGTGGGAAACATTCAAACAGAGCAGTCGAGACTTCAGATAGATGGGTCAAGATGAAGACCCCCATTTTTTTTCTCTAAGTAAGTGCAGCTGCAGAAGGAGGTTGTCTGGGAGCTGCCAACAAAGAAATCACAGGAGCTTCTGCAGGACTGGAATTACACAGTTATCCTGTCCTTAGCTGTTAAACGTTTTCCAGTTCACTCCAGGACCCTGACTAGTCCCATCAGGTATCCTGAGCAACTGCTTCTGGTAACTAATACAAACCCAATATTTCATTTCATTTAGCCTCGTATCTTGCTATGGATTAGCTTTTCAGATGTTGGAAACATTAAATGAGTCTCTGTTCCATGGACTTTGCTCTGATTTTAACTTTATGAACCTCATTCTGGTCCTAGATTCACATCAATGTACCTCAAGTCATTGCAAATAGAGATAGATGTGCAGTCAGAAGTCAGAATGAGTCAGTCTTCTTTCTTTCTTCCTTTGGTTTTCCCATTTTGAAATACTTGAGATTTCTCAGCTAGCTCTGATTACAATAAAGCACAGTCAGTAGAGAGCGTCCTATGGTGGCTTTCTTGAGAGAATTGTACAAAAAGAAATGCAATTAACAGAAGTAATGAGGCATTAAAGTAAGCTGTAACATCTAATGTAAGCTAATCTGATCAAAGCGTGGTTCCAGCTACTCTAATAAAATCTTATTCCTGGGTTTCTTTCAGGGGGTTCTCACACAGATTAAGTGCAGCTCTGAAATATTTATTGGTGGAATCCCTAGTCATGATGCTGTGAGGAAGAATTCTGGGATCCTCAGGCTCTTCAATGGGAGCATCCAGAAGGTATGTGCCCAGATTAACACACTGGAAGCATTTATTTTCATCTCTCATCATATCCTGTCCAGTGGACACTTCAGGTGAAAACTTGCCCTTATAGCACTGGCAATATTCAAAATAATCCAAGATTTCACCTCAGAAGCCTACCACAAAGTGCTTAAACATGTATTTCACAGTGAAAAGTCATTCTAACTTTAATAGCCAGTAAGTATTACCGTTGCCATTCTCCCTATTAATTTCCATACTCTACTAATAAGTAAGCAAAAGTCATACGGGATCAAATTCAGAATGATGCATAAAGCTATGTCAAGATTAGAGTCCTCAGTGTGCCCTTTAGCATCATATATAAATAAATGAACAGAAGAAATGTTTAAATACTTCAATGTATGCACAATGAGGCAGCTAAATGTGTGATGTAACCAATACAGTAATGAGCAAAATAGAAGGTGCAAATTAAAGTGGATCCCAGTCCAGCTAGCATATTCTTATACCACACATCAGTTGCTCACCTCACTGCCTTCCCCTCTTATGCTTTTATATGGGGCACATGAATGGAGAAGATCTTTTTCATTTTTGGCAGACTTCAGGGATGATGTTCCGGTACAGCCAGCTGCACATTGGTGCAATTCTTTTCTGGAAAATAAATCTGTAAATTCATAAAACAGTCCTAATAAGTACTCAAAAGAAAGTTCAAACTGAACTAACATTTGCTCTCCCTAGATTAGGCATACTTTGGATAAAGATGAAAGGTTGACCCCTGAATCCTTAGAGTTTAAAATGAGTAAAGTATTGCATCAAATTTAATTAACAAATTAAAAAACCTAGTAGTGCATCACTTAATAATTGGTCAAGGACAGAAAGGTAATTGCAATTCAGTGTAAATGGTTTCATCACTTGGTCCAAAATTTTTCAGTATCTTTGTCAGCTATCTAGCAGAAAACCTGAAGTGCAAGAAAACTGGGGGAATGTGTAATAGTGATGGGAACAGTTCAGTCACATGAACATCTGGAAAGGTAGGCTTGACTAAACATTGTGCATTTTGGAGAGCAAGATAGGGAGCCTTGGAGCAATGAACATAGGTCACACTTACAAAGTGAGGGGTTGTACCCTAGAGTACAAAGGCACTGATAAGGATTAGGAAATGCTGAGTGTGAGTTCTTACTTCAGTGATGTAGTTAAGAAGGTGGATTTGCCTTCTTAGAGGCCTGAATGGGATGTCAAGGAAGAGTATCGCCTGCCTTTTGGGCACTGGGAGACTATTAGTTGGCTGTCGTGTTCACACATAGCAGGATTTTGGAGAATTGTATAGAAATAAAGCTACAAACATCACCAAGTACTGGAAAACATGCCATGTATAGAAAGACCTAAGATCTTAATCTATTTAGTTTACTCAGATAAGGTTAAGAATTTATTGTGATCTGCTAATTTCTACATGAGGATGAGCTTTCTTTGAGTAGCTGGCTCTGAAATGATGCAGAAAAAGGAAACAATGGCTGGAAGCTGAAGATAGTTTAAGTCCAGAAATAAGATATACATTTTTAAGAGTGGGGGCTTGTTAACCTCTGGAACAACGTAGCCAGAAGTTAGAAAGAACCTGAAAAGGTAGTGTACTCTTTGCCATTCCATTTTTACGACAGGACTGGATGTTTTTTGAGTGTTGAACTTGTTTAATGTTGTTTCAAACAGAGCATATATGCTTGATGCAACCCCTTCCCCCAGTAAGCCTCCCTAAGGTACATTGTCTGAGTTATGCAGGAGCCAGAGTAACTGTTATAATTCTCACTTCTGGCCTTAAAAATCTGTTTGTGAAAATGGACTTCATATTTTGATGTAGCTGAGATCAGAAGCCATACCCACATGTAATCTCTCTGCCAAGATATCAGCTGAGATTATACAAATGTCGGTTTACATTGGAGAACATATGTTGCTGACACATTGGAAAAATCCCAACATTTAATAATTGTCTTCGGTTTATATACAAACAGTTTTGTGAAGTCATTAATTATGTTTTTCATCCATTCTTAACTCTAGCTTCTTTCAGGCAAGATGAGATACTAGAAAGCAATAGAAAATGTTAAAAGCAAGCTGTTCTGCTTAGTATTTCTGTTATCAACACTCATCTCCTGGGGGGTTTCCTGTTCTCAGAAATGCTTTTCCTCAGCAGTGCTCATCTAATTTTACAGTACTAGCTCACAGCTCAGCTACAAAGTATTGTGCTTGTGTTCAGACATGACTGGTAAATCCCACACAGCTTCTCTCCATATGGGGGTTGCCTAAGGCTGTGTCACAAAACACAAAAGAAATTAATCTCCAATGAGTCAGGATGAGCAACAGAATGAGTTGGACCTCTGCGACTGGAAAACACTCATCACAAGAAATAGGTTTTTGGCCAAGTTTTAAGGCCTACCTTTCTCTGAAGTCTTTTAGAGAAGTCTTCTGCCTAACAGTGCAATTCTGAAGATTTGGAAGTTTTTAGTATACATTTTCCTCCCTTTCTTTCTTTCCTTTTTTTTTTTTTTTTTACCACATAGATTATCTTGAATGACCGGAGAATTGATGTGAAACATGATTTCACTTTTGGAGTCAACCTAGCAAATGCTGCCCACCCCTGTGTGAGCTCACCATGTGCAAATGGAGGCATCTGTGTTCCCAAGAAGGACAGCTACAAATGTGACTGTCCCCTGGGGTTCAATGGGCAACATTGCCAAAAAGGTAATGATGGCTGCATTTCAATCCAGAGATTTGGAGTCAATCACAAAAATAAGAGAGATTTAGCACCTACAACTGCTGTTGTACACATCCCTTGAACTAGAAACCCTGGAGGCCAGAGCTCCCTTTGCATCTGTGCACATTCCACATACCCAGGGAAGAATTCGTTTTGTTATTTAGGAACATTGTAACTGTTATCCCAGCACAGAGCTATGATCCATAGATAGCAGCCTGGTATCTGGTTGCTCATGGTGGCCAACACTGAACACTTCATACACCTCCCTAATTATGTAGTGCTATACAAAGAGGGAATTCCTGCCAACATCCTCCAGCCAGTGATTATGTTACGTCCTGAAGCATGAGGATTGATAACCCTTGTAATTTTATCCTCTCTAGTGTTAACAACAAACACTGTTCTCATGTACGGAAAGGTCTAATCCTTTTTTAGATGCTGACTACTCTGATGGTAATTTCGCCATCTGCACAAATCCTGCCTCAGTATGGCAATGGAGACCACCAAGGAGGAAAATCTGCCCAGATGTGTGTCATTCTTCTTTCCTCAGAGCCCCTGTAATAGTTCAAATCTTAGATTCAGGAAAGTGTTCAGCTTGCATGGAAAACATTAAAAAAATGCACTTTGGGTTATTCTACTAGATAGAGATGTTTCCCTTCTGTCAGGCTTGATCTTGAAAAATTCCTAAGGGAACATGTTGTAATGTAACAGCAAACTAAGTTCAAAAGAGCTGAGTGACGTTATTGTCTTCACCCACTCTTTCATTTCTCACAGGCACAAACTTCAAAGTAAAAAGTAGTGGTTTTGGTTAAATTGTGATGAATAGACTGGCCTTTTCTTCCAAAAAAGACAATATCTTAGAACAAAAACATTTTATTAAAAAACTATGCAAGAAAGCCCTTCGTTTATGTTATTGAGGTCTATAATAGCATCATTTATCCCAACTTCTGTGTGGGGAGGAGGGAGAATTGCAATTTTGGCTTTCTAGGTATGTGCACAGTGCTAAGCTCCTGACTTCAAGATGGTATTTGCAGCAATACCACGGTCTCCAGGGGGAGTCAAGGCAAGTGAATGCTTTGCAGCTTGGGTGTGTGACTGCCTGTCCATTCAATGAGCTTCTGTACATTGCTTGGGCCACAGCTCCTCACCGCTCATCTACTTCTGACCTGTGCTAAGCCCTGAAAGCAGTGTGCCAAGCTGCCCGCTGCTGCACCTGCTTCACAGGCACTGGCAGTGCTGCCACTCGGCTGGGCTGCTGCCACTCTCCCCCCCCGCCTAAACCGGA